TTCAGTATCTCCATTTCATAAAGCAAATCGTCAAACTTTATGAGTGGCTACACCCTTCAGCCATCCCCAAAAACAACCAGGCAGTGGATATTTCCCTGACTGTGCAGGTTCGAACTGGGTGTCACAGGAAGCCCCCACCTGCTTCTGAAATTCCTCATATTAAGAGGATGCACACACATAAGGAAGCCAGGCAATCTTTGCTCCATTTACAGTTTCTTAATTATTTCAGCACTGCAAAGGTGATGGCATCCACAAGACCATTTGCTCCCATTTCCATACTCACACACACACAGATATCATTTTGAGCAAGGTAAAAGCCAGTTTTGCATTTCCTGAACCATTTTGCCGTGAACATTCTGAGATTATTTTCCTGGTCTGTGCTCACTGAATGCTGAGGCAGCCTCTTTTAGAGCCAAAACACTTTTAGAAGTGTTTTGCAAATGCAGCCGACAGCTTGCTGTAGGTTTTGTTCAGTCATTTGAACACGGCTCCTGAAATTTGTACTTTGAAATGGTGCAACATCCAGTTGCAAGTGAATCACCTGTCAGTAATCACTACAAGGAACACTGGCAACAGGGAGATAACACTCTCTGCATTTATGGAAACAATTGTTGTTATTAAAGCTTACTCATCCTGCTAAAAAGAAGCCTCGTGGCAGTGTAGGCGACAGGAAGGAGTGGAAAGCAAGGCAGCTGGTAGCTTCTATACTGTTTGCCTACCAGCTCACATCCTTTGGTCCTTGTGAACTTGCAAGTCTATATTAAGACAGGGCAGGCTCTATGAGACATGATCCCCAGATACAGAGTGATTGCTGACCTCCAGCAATCTGCTGTGAAGAAAAGGCAGTACTTTGTTTGCAAAAGTTCCTCGAAGCATGAAGGTCTTCAGCTGGGATCTCAGAGCAGAGCTCCCTGTAACAAGTGGGAATTATGGAAAATAAAACCTGATGTTTGCCCAAGGCTACATGGGAATTTTCGTACAGGAATTTGCATAGATCTTTGTGTCCTCTGTAGTTTAGCAGGCTCAGCCCTGCTCTAAAGTTTCAGATAATGAAGGTGGGCTGAGTACCAGATAAGGTAGTGCTCCTAGATATTTCTGTAATTAAATCTGCATAAACCACACTATCATTTGATACAAAACCTCGCTGTGGGCTCTCTCTGGAAAGCAGGTGACCCTACACCCAAGGATCCCCAGAGCAGCCTCGTGACCTCCCCCACTTGACAAGACAGCTGTCCAACCCAAAGCACAGGGATTTCAAGCACACCCTTCAAAACAAAGTAAACAACCCCCAGGTGAACTGATGAGAGCGTGAAAAAGTTGAATCCAAACAAATCAATCAAGGGGAATAAAAGGCCTTCTCCTAGCTCCTGCCACAGCCCCTCATGAGTGCTTCCTGGTCACAAAATGGGCAGTCAGGTTCGTGTGCCTGGCACACACCCATCATGACCCCAGCACCCTGTGGTGATGTATGGCCTGCTGACATTTTGGTGTTGTAGGCAAAAGCCACAGGAATTAGGTTCGGTGTCACCACCCAGCCTTGCAATGTCACCTCAGAAGGCTGCCTGGGCAAGAGCCTTTGAGGGACACCTTTGACTGCCAGAGCATTCCCATTCTGGGGAATCTGCTCTCAGACTCTGTGTGCCTATGCAGCCTCTCTAAGTAGGAGGAGCCTTGGCAGCCCCGAGCTCATCCCTCTCCTCCGTGTAGATCTGGTGCAAGAATGAGCAAAACGAATCCACCTTTGCATTGTAAATACAAATTTGTGGCAATCGACTATGACACTGTAGAGAATTTATAATCATCTTACCTTCACGTGAGGTCTAGAAAGGCAGATACACAAGTGTAACACAACCAGTGTCAGCCAGCTGCAATATGGGCTGCAGGTCGCACTGTTCCGGCAGCATCCTCCATTCCTAACAGTCCTATTTCCAGCCACACAGGTTAGTCACAGTTTTTATCAAAACTTCATCTGCTGACACACTGCCAGTGGGTGGTTAAAAAAAGAAGGAAAAGAAATTGAACTGGTTGTGCAGGTTTTTAAGGTAAAACTTTTCCTTCTGCCTAATCTATTATATAATTGCCACAAAACTGCCTTCCTAAGTATCTATTTCAAGTCCGAATCATAGCTACACCATCCTCACCATGATGTATTGGCTTCTCTCGGTGATGTGTAATTTCTTTGTCTGAAGTTCATGTTATGCATTTTTTCACAGAATCACAGAATGGCCAGGGTTGGAAGGGACCTCAAGGATCATGAATCTCCAACCCCCCTGCCACATGCAGGGCCACCAACCTCCACATTCAATACTAGACCAGGCTGCCCAGGGCCCCATCCAACCTGGCCTTGAACACCTCTAGGGTTTGGGGCAACCACAACCTCTCTGGGCAGCCTGTTCCAGCACCTCACCACTCTCTGTAAAGAATTTCCTCTGACATCCAACCGAACTCTTCCCTCCCTAATTTTCCTTTATTCATCTGATGAAAGGGGGAGAAGTATATAATCTCATTCAATATCTTTATGGAAATAAAATGTCCTTGTGTAATCATACTTATGTGATCCTCTTGGAATGCTGTGGTAAATAAGGAGTTTTGAAGCCTAGATGCTTATAAAAGAGTACTTTTGCTTCTGGAAGCATGCAATATTTTTAATTGCACATTAAATTTCAAAGTTTAACCTAAGGACTCAAATGCTTATCCTTGCATACCTATGGAATCTTTTATTTGAACAACTCCTCATTATGAGCTTTTAAAAATCTCAAATCAAGTCTTCCCTCATCATCCTAAGGGAATTTTTTATTTACTGCATGATTTGCAGACACACAGAAGCACTTCAGTAAATCTATGGAGAGAAATGGTCTTCTCTGAAGTTCTTAGCAGAAACCTAGAGGCCAACACCAACACTTTCAAATATATTTAGAATATCTATTTCTATTAAAATCTGATATGTTTTATATGCTAAATAACACTGCTTATTTAATTTGTAATGAAACTTCCACATTTGTTACAGAATAGAATGTTCCATGGCTCAGTGGAATCCATGGTTTTTCTTCACAAATGGGGAGACTTATAAGTGAAGGAAATTCCCAGAGGGAAATTTAAACTAAAGTACATATGTATACACCACAGTCTTGGCTTTTTTGTTTTCTCTTTTTCATTTTATTTTTGCTTTGCTTTGCTTTGGTTTTTCAGAACATCTTAATTTTTAATAAAAGCTCATAGCCAGAAATCTGCTGAAGCTTTTTAGCCATACTCAGAGTTAGTTTTTATTGAATAAATGTAAGTCACTCTGAAAGTAATGCATCCTATTCATTTCCATGGAAACTACAGATGCAGTGAGCGTAGCAGCACTGATAGAACACATTCTCAGCTACAAAACACCATTTTTCAACAGTCATCACCATTCATTTCACAAGCAATGAACAAGAGCCTGCGTGCTGCACTCAAAATGGTCTGCACCAGTGGAGGTGACCCTCTATCACTGCTACCACTGCTGAAATGCCCCTCACTTGCTCACATCCACTGTTTGGTCTCCATCTACATTCAGCAAATGTTGATGAATGTCAGTGGGTGCCATCTTTTCCTCACAGAGGCATTCAGTGACACACCTTTGCCACATAAGCACTTCCATGTCAGACTCCATTGTGTCAGAGTGCCCCTCTGCTGTCATCTGTCACAGCAACATGTCATGGGATAATGGCAGGAAGGTTCAACCTTTACTACCATACCACCAGTGTAGAAGTTCTTTAGAGCTCTACCATCTGCTAGTTGTTCAGCACATCTCTATCCACACCCAAACTCCATTCTGATCACTCTGCATGGGATCTTAACTGAAAATAGAGCCTTAATTTAATTAAGAAGTCAACATCTATAAATTGTTTTCCTACACCTCAAAAATAGATATTCACCTACACACTAATCCTGTTACTCGTCAGCAACCTTGTGGATTGATAATGAGAACAACTGATATTCTTTTTTATCCTCCCTGCATGTTCCTGCAAAGATGAACCAATTTTAAATCCACAGTCCTATCGTCAGCTAAAACAGTTTACTCTATGTTTTTTACCTTCAAAAATAATTTTCTTTGATAACTCCTCAAGCACCTGCATGAAATGTCAGTTCAGTGCTTACAGACACTGTGCCTCTTGTGCCTCACCACCAACGATCAGAAAGCATTTCAAACGCTGAGGTTTCCACAAAAATCATACGTGCGTATGTTTATAAAAAGGTAATGAAATTTAAGATCATGAAATGAAAACATAAATACTAATGTCAAGATTTATTTATTTTTTAATCACAATCCTACTAAATATGCTTTCTAAAAAGTAATTGAAAGCCTTGCTTGCACAACCCTCTTTTTCTGAAACCCGCAGAATTCCCGAACCACTCAGTAGAACTGTTCCTGTTTTGATCTGAAGTTCTATCGGGATGAACACATCCCTTACCTTCCCGTCAGAAAGCCTCGCTGACCCACAGCCTCTCTGGTATCAATAGGCATCAAGCCAGAACCTTAAACCACAGGACAATGCTTAGTGGACCACTGGTGCACCATATTTTGTATTAAGGCAGTTTCTGTCTTACTGAAAAAAATGACAGCAATGCATTTCTGTGTTTGTAATAGAAGTCTCACTGACCCTCTTCTTAACACATGTTTAGAGCAAAGGTTTATGCTATTGTTTAAATCACTTCCTTCCGTCACACCAAATGGTACATTTCCACAGTGCTGCTTTACGGAGCCAGTAAGACAGCAAAGCAAATGGTACAGAATCAGTCAGGTTTTCTTGCAGCACCTGACATACACAACAGAAGCAATAGGTTTTCACCATTCAAATGTTTTCAAAACATCTACAGGTAAAGCTGAAACAGAAGCATAAGCATACTTTGCTAGGAGATTAAGAAAGCTGGTTTTATTCAGTTCTATCCAGGCTCATACAGCACAGTCTCTTACTTTTTCCTACAGCTTTAAACTGTTATTTATGCAACCTTAAGGCATAAGATCTTACCCAAGACCAAGGGGAGCCAGGAGGGCTCTCAGGCTGTTCTTCGTCCTCAGACGACATCTTGAGGTGATCATTTTCCCCCATTCTTTGCACAGGATACTAAACTAGCCTTGGCTTCGGCCATATACAAAAATGCTGCCTTCAGGTTTTAGCTGTTGACAACAAAGCTCCAGAGAATACAATTTCCCAGTGATCGCGTTTGCTTGCTAATTTTACCTGCTGAAGTTCTTGGAAGCACAGTCAGAGAAAGAAACATGAGCTCCGTAAACCAGAGCACATTTTCCTTGCAACTGACTCCTCAAGTATCCTAATTAAGTCATAAGGTTCAGTGAAAAATTAGAGCTTGGCAAACCAATTAACTTCCAAACAGTCAGTATCCATTGTACGTCTGTATGAGATTTTATGCTCAGACAACCTGCTGAGTGTTACAATCTGTGAACAGAATATAAGGAATTCTCACCCTGCCAACGTTTTATTACCATCACTAATCATATTTAGAATGGATTTTAATGGTTTCATTTTGTTTTCAAGGCAGGTTCTTAATGTCAAAATCTCATTCTGCCTTTCTGCATAGTTGTGCAGTTGTTACAGATCGTAACTGCGCAGGCAGCACAGATTCCTCCTTCTGTGCAATAAAGAACTTGAAAGAGGACACTTTCTTTTCCATTTATTTCTTTTGGTCTTACATTTCCTTTCAGATATGTGCCAAAGTGCAAAGACAATTATTATAAATGTTGTCCTATGTAACTTCAGACAAATGAGCCCAGATACCTGAGGTGGGACGCCCTTGTCTATAAGAGAACTACAGAACTCAGCGTCCTAAAATCACCTCTGGCAGCTGATCTGAATGGAATCCCAGATGAGACACAGAGAGGCTTTGCTGTTGAGCTGACCAGTAATTCACGGCTCTGTTACGCCTTCAAATTCATAACCTTTGGCTTTGATTTTATTAATTCCTCTTCTAGTGATGCATCCACTTGCATTTGCTGGTGAAATAAAATTCTTATCAAAAATCCCTGACTTCAGGCAAATGCTTCTCAATCTTTCCTCTGTGCTCAAGAATGAAGTGTGCTATTTGTAGTAAGCTACTGCAGGAGAGACCCAGCATTATCTTTGAGTTGATAATGATCATCAAATCAACAAGTGCACCCAGCTGCGTTTGATATTTCACCTTGAGCTATATGTAGATTCACTAAGTAGGTAAAACAATAAGCAATGAAAAAAGAAAACTTTGGAAATGTGGTGTTGAGCACAGGAGCAGCCTGTAGCCAGCATATGGTCTCTGTCCACCGTAAATGGCACATTCATGGACATTCATGGGGCATTCACCTGGAAGACGGGAGAAGAGTTAATTTTCAGATAAATTAATGCCTACTTAGACAAACACATCAGAAACTTTGAATCTAAGGTGGCCAAATAGTCAGGTCACTTTAATACGGCAGGCCAACATTTCGCAGAGATAAGAGAACAGCACTTAAGTTACCAGGATGCTCAAATTACTTGCTTCTGTTGAAGAGCAAATGGTAAGACTGTCAGCACAGTAACCCATTTATTAGGTATCTGGCACATCACATTTTCTTTCTGGAACAGATTTGGGGAAGGAAATTCAATACAATTCTCCTGAATGCTGCTTAGCAGGGAAATGCCACACCTAGAGCATTTCAGTGGCATTCCTGCCCCTGCTGAAATGTTTATTCACTGCATTTGAAAGGTGGGAATCACTGTTTGCCAAAGTAATTTTCCACTGTACCACCCAACTCTTCTGTTAAATTTACTTTCAAACTGTGATAACAGTCTATCAGAAACTGTTTCAATCACAGTTATAATACTATATAATATATATAATTATAACAAATAGTAATATTATTTATAAAATCCTTCAAGAAGTGGCTGGACATCTTTCCCAGCACACTGCACATCTGGAGCCTTTGTCATCTTGAGCACTGAACAGCTCTGGGAACTTTCTTTCCCCAGGAAGTCCTGACAGCTACAAGCATTTCTACTGTGCAGCACATGAACCTGGTGACTGCTGCTCCTAGAGGGATGCTCCTGACTGTCTGGTGTCCTGCATCCAAGGGTGACCAGTACCAGATGTTTCTGATCGAGAAATCCAGAAACGGAAGAACAACCACATGGAAAAGGATTTTCCCCCTAACTTTCATACATGAGAACAGTGATTCCCATCCTTTCCCTAAGGTTTTCATTTCCACTGCCTCTACTTCTGTGCTCCCAGCCAGGCCAATTCCTCTTTGCCTCCTGAAAGTCTCCTTCCTATAGCCTCAGGTGCCAGCCCTTTTCCTCTCAGTGCCTTCCCATTTCTCCACGACTTTGCTACTTTGCTGCTCTTTCCCACGTTAGCATTTCTCATCAGAGACCCACTGGGACTGCCCCAAAAATCACAGAAGATATTCTCAGACTCAGGTTCACATAAAGTTCACAGTCACTTTTGGATTCCTACTCAGCTCATTGCCTCTGGGAGATCCTGTAGCAAAAAGCTTCATTGGATAATCATGCAACGCATACAAAAATCTTGTGACAATTTTAAATATTGCCTGATGATTTCATTACATGAGGACACAGGGTAAACAGGAGCCAATTTCGTTTTATAAATAGCATCTGTAAGTGCTCTGTCATGAGAAGGGGAAAAAAAAAACAAAAAAACATTTGTAATCATCCCAGAATATTTAAAATGGTAATATTATCTCATGGAAGCCTTGGTGTGAGCTTTATTTTCTGAACTGATAAGATAATGCCTTCTTATTTTTAACAGGATAGTTTTTCATTAAGATTAATTTAAGATGTTTTTAAATACAGCCACAGCTCTGCTGTTCTGGGGCAGGATCACTAGGATCACTTTCCTAGAACAGTCTAACTTCCTCCAGTTTTTTCACAATGCTGGAGTTGCTGAGAACAAAGCATAGGGACCTGCTTTTCACTACTTTCTCTGTTTTATCTCCTAAACACCAAGGGCAATTAATAAGCCCTTGAAATAGGGATGAAGAAAGCCCTCTGCTTTGTGCCTCTGGGCGCACACAGGAAAGGAGCCCCAGGATCATGTTGCACCACACCAAGAAGCCCTGCTGCAGTCCTGTGCACTCCTCTGCAGAACCATGATCCACCAGATCCAGCACCTCTCTCCAAACAGGGATGTCAGGAGGTTTATATAAGGTCAGCAGACCCCACAAAATGAAAACATCCTCTGGAAGAATGGTAGGAGGAGCTCTTGCAAGGGAGAGAAGAGGAGATTGAGCAATAAATAGCAATGGAGCTTGGAATTTTTTAATTATATAGGTGCCAAGGAGAACAAATAATGAAAGACACGTGACACAGGTAAGATGTAAGATGCTGCATGTTTGGCCCAAATACAGCCCAGTGTTCCCCACTTGAGAGTGGCACACAAGGCTGCTGATGTGTCCCAGCACAGATGCCAGTTTGTGTAGGACAGATCTGAGATTTACATCTGATAGACTATGGGCATTTATGAAAATAAAATTCAAAGGGAAAGAAATGACATCATCACCAAACCCAGATTCTGTGCAATTGCAAAATGACCTGCTGCTTAAGTGTGGTACAGAATCCTGTGGCTACTGCCATACCCTGCTCTCAAAACAGTTACTAAGTCCCTCCTGGCTCCCCACAGGCAATAACAAGTCCAAACTCACTTTCATATCAACCCTGTTATTTCTAAAAGAAAAAGGAAATTGTTAAGCTGCTGTTAACAATGCTGCTGAAGTTTTTCTATAACACATCAGAATGCACTTTGCCAAAATAATCCTCCTTAATATGTTCAGAGTTTAAGTGTTCAGTCAACACATCAGTGATGCAACAAGTAGAAGGACAACTAAGAAAATGCAAAACAAATATGTCAGGTTTTTCGAGGATTTAAACAAAACCACATTTACGTACAGATCATAGAGTCGTAGAGTCATTAAGATTGGAAAAGATCACTAAGGTCATCAAATCCAGCCACCAACCCATCCCCACTGTGCCGACTGACCACATCCCTCAGTGCCACATCTCCGTGGTTCCTGAACAGCTCCAGGGATGGTAACTCCACCACCTCCCCAGGCAACTTTATTAAGTCTTTCTTAAAACCATAGCAGGCAATTTCAAATCTCTTTTTCTTACTGAGCAGAATTCTCACTGTTACCTTTGATGTCCTCTCTCTCTTTTATTGAATAGTATGTACACACTGAGCAATGCCAGCAGCTGGGCTATGCCTCAGAACTCCCTGAGCTGTGTCCTCTACAACAATCCGTGACTGCCTCTGGAGCTGCCAAGGCAGGACTGGAAATGTTATAAAAGCACTGACCAGAACTGCTGTTGTTTTTTTAGGTGAAAATTGGAGCAGGGATAAAGGGTGGAAGGCAGTCAACAGGCAGAGAATGCGCGGAATCAATTTTCCTTTTCACTGAAGAGCTGGATCCTTAAAGAGATAGCAAAAAGGAACAAATAACATTATTCCAGTGGAAGCTGATGAACTACCAAGGCAGACTGCTGAGGGGCAGACACCAAGGTTCTTCTGTCTCTGCTTTAAGCCCCACTTCTCCACCTTGTGAACCTCTGTGACCCCGAGCCTTACACATTGAGTCTGTTTCTCTTGTATTTCTTTCGCTATGTGTGACCGACACACATCACCACAGAGTATCACAGATCTGCCTTTGATATATTTAGCAGCTGCTGTGAGATGCAGCGTGGGAGCTGAGGACTGTACATTCCCCATCACAACAGGAGGTGCTTATTAAGGGAAGAATGCTGAAATCCCTTACATCCTGTAGCGTTCGTGTCATCTATAATGCCCATGGTATTCAAATACCAGACATCAGTGCTCAAGTGCTTGTGAAGTATGCTTTGATAGCAGAGAGAGGATGGTCAGAAGGAATATAATGTCACCTTCCCAGTAACCTTCTCTATATTTGGATACTGTCTGTTGCAAAGCTGAATCACAAAATGCTTCGCCCTCTGACACGCAGTACAGAACATGATTACAATACTGTCTGTGATAATAGTGGCTGACTAAGACAGCAAGCATGGGAGGCACTTGAGAAGAAGTTAGAGGCTGGATAAAAGTCAGTAAAAGCATGCTGTCAGTTCCCTTTTGCCTTTTGTTTCCTACAACATTATCACATCAATCCGTGTGATGGAGAGCTCTATCTTCTTGCCAAGTCAGAAAGAATAAATGATTTGTTTGCTTAATGAGTATGGGCCAATTT